TACATTCACCAGTTGAAACTATTTGTATTGTTTCCAGTTTTTAGGTGTTTATGGATAAAGCTGCTATAAACATTTATGTGTGTTTTTTTTGTAGGTGTGTGAACACGCTTTCACATATCTTGGGTAAATAACTTAGAGTGGAATTCATGGGTTGTATGTTGCGTATATTTAATTCTATAACAAATTGTCAAACTGTTTTTTAAAGTGGTTGTACCATTTTTCACTTCTGCCTGAAATGCATGAAAGTTTTCATTGAATCATCATTCATCCTTGGTTCAGTCAGTTTCTTTGATTTTAGCCTTTTAATAGGCGTAAGGTAATATCTCATTGCAGTTTCAACTTAAATTTCCCTATTGATTAATAAGGTTGAACATCTTTTCATGAACTTAATTGACACCCATATATCTGCTTTAATGAAGTGTCTAATAAAATCTTTTATGTATACTCGACATAATTCTTAGTCACATAGGTGTTTTTACAAGGATTTTCTTAGTCTGTAGCTTGAATTAAAGTACCTTTCTAAGAGCAGCAATTTTTAATTTTATCAAATTTAGTTCATAACCTTTTTCTTTTATGGATTGTGATTTTTATGTCTTATCTAGGGAAACTTTGCCAACATAAGGATACACATATATTTTCTTATGTATATTTTTATTTGTCCATTAAAACTTTCCATTGATTTCATGTTGTAGGGTGTCTTAGAGTGATCTTTGTTTTTGTTATGGTCAACTATGCATAATGTAATAGTTATCATTTTAACCATTTTTAGGTGTACAATTCACTGCCATTAAATACACCCTCAAAATGATGCAACTCCCACCATTTCAGTTTATGTCTGGTATCATTTTTCCCTGAACCTGAAAACCTTTCTTTAATATTTCTTATAATAGTGATTGTTGATAATGGATTCTTTTAATTTTTGTTTTTCTCTAAATACTTATATTGTAGCCTTAAGTTTTAAAAGATATTTTCATAGGGTCTAAACTTTTATGTTGGCAGATATCCCCCCCAATAATTTAAAGATAGCATTCCCTTGACTTACAGTTTGCATAGTTTCTTATGAGTAATCCACTGTATTTTTTTAAAATCTTTGTTCCTGTCTATGTGATTTGTATTTTAAAATATGAAAATCCATTAAAATATTCTGCTTAGTGCTTTTTGGGCCTGTAGCTATATATCTTTCATTATTGTGGGAAATTCTCAGGTATTATTTCTTCAGATATTTCTTCTGCCCCATTCTCTGTCATCCCCTTCTGGAATTTCAGTTATACATGTTAGATTATTTGATATTATTCAGAGCTGTTAGGTGCTGTGTTCTTTTCTTTTTCTTTCCCCTTTTGTCTTTTTGTTCAGCTATTTCTATTGATCTGCAGTTCACTAATTACTTATCTGTGTCAAGTTTACTGGTGAGTATATTGAAGACATTAATCTCTGTTACCATGTTTTTCAGTTTTAGCATTTCCTTTAGACTCATTGCTGTAATTTCCATCTCTCTTGGAAATTCTTCACTTGTTCATGCATTTTGTCCTTTTTTTATTAAAGGCTTTAACATATCAATTTTAGTTTAAGTTCATTGTTTAATAATTCCAATATCCGGTTATTTCTGAGTCTAGTTCTGTTTATATTTTTCTCACCTAGAGAGTAGGTTTTTCTTCCCTTGAAGTTCTTTTATGTTCCACAATCTTTTATTGAATACTATTTACCTAGTGTAGAACAATAGAGAATGATAGAAATCCTATTTGTCACTGGAAATGGATACACTTCTTTTTCTAGGTCATTTGTATGAAGGCTTATGTTCACTTATTCAGGAGTTAAGCTGGGCTGAGTCTCATTGTTGCCATAGTTACCTTCAGTTTGTCCTGGGCTTCAAATTCTCTAGTGTTACTTTATTTGTGAGGGAGAGAGCTAGGGTGGTTAAGGGTATTTTCATCAATGTTATGCTCTACCCTGAACTTTCCCTGGGTACTGCTACCACAGTGGCTTCTCTTGATGCTTTTGTCCCTACTCTAGAAGTAGATTTCTGTTGTTTGTAATCCAGAGGTTGGTATCTGGTGTTGAGGGAGCAAGACTATTTTTATTGTATTGGTCTAACCTCACTCTTAGGCAGACCCGGTATGTTATGGTTTTGGAGTGAAGTTTTAAAAAATGATGCCATCTTTCTTTACTCTTTAATCTTTGCTTTTAATTTTTATTTTTTAGAAAGAGAGAGAAACATCAATGAGAAGGAGAAACACTGATTCGTTGCCTCCCATATGTACTCCCATATGAGGGAATCTAACCCACAACATAGGTATGTGCCTTGACACTCCAATTAACTTAGCCACCCAGCAAGGCTCAACTCTGTCTTGAATCATTGATTTGTCTTGTATGAGACAGTTTCCTACCCCTTTGGTAGGGATAGGAGCCCTCTAATAAAGAGATGTAGTCTTAGGCCATGACTGTTTTCTGCCTCTCACCCAGGTATAAAGGATTTTTCCCCCTTTTCCTCCTCCTGCAATGGTCTCACTTGGTTACAAATTTTGTTATTCTTCATGCAGTGGCTTAAGACCTTTATTTCTATGGGGTACAGATATTGTTGGGGCTTCATGTGTTTTCTATGACAGAAGCTACTTTCCTTCTCCAGGTTTGTATCACAAAGAAAGCTTTTTCTAATCTTCTGCCCTGCTCCTAATCTTTCTCCAAAACACCTGACAGAGACCTGTACAGGAGTCTGCCACTGGGTTTGAATTCCCTTTTGTGTCTGTGACTCTCAGAGATTCTACATGCTCATATTTCCTCTACGCTGGATCTTTAATCATTTAAAAATTTTGTCTTAATTATTTTTAATCACTTGTATGACACCCAGCATTTTTTCTTTTGGTGCCCTGTCATAGAGGAGTCAGAGCTTCTTTCCCAACTTCTTTTGATGGGACCCAACTGTCCTTGGATGCCGGATTATTGGTGGCCCTATAGTCCCAGTTTTCTGATAAATTTTGCTCTTTATTTGTTCTTGTTAAGGCGGATGCCAAGATCTTTCCAGCTATCTAAATCCTATGTGGAAATGAAACTTAACATATCTTTTAAAAGTTAAAGTTCCGGAGAAGAACCAAGATGGCGGCATAGGGCAGACACCCGAATGCAGCCTACCACAAGTTTGAATTTAGAACTGAAAAACAGGGGAAACATCACCCTGAAGCACCAGACGGCTGGCTGAGGGGAGGCTCTACCATCTGGGAAGAAGAGAGAAGGCGCGCTGAACCTCAGGAACTGTGAAAGTACGGAAAACTGTGCGCGAAAAAGTGGCTGCAGAGTTCGCTGCCGGCTTGCTTGTGGAGCACAGAGAGGGCGGGCCGAGTTTGCTACCGGCTTACTCCCTGCACGGAGAGGGCGGACAGCTAATGCGCAGCTGGCTTTCTTGTTTGGGAGGAAAACAGAACCACCCTATTGCGCTGAAATAAAAAAATATTATTCAGAGTCCTAAAAACAAAATGGAAGATCGCAAGAATCAAGTCAAAGATATGGAACATAAAGAGCCAGAAGACACTCCTCCACAGAAGCAAGAAGACAAGAGAATCCAGAAAGTTGAAGATAATGTAAGAAACCTCTAGGACAACTTCAAGCGAACCAACATCAGAATTATGGGGGTCCCAGAAGATGAGAGAGAGCAAGATATCGAAAACATACTGAAAGAAATAGTGACAGAAAAGTTCCCCCGCCTGGTGAAAGAATTAGACTTACAAGTCCAGGAAGCACACAGAACTCCAAACAAAAGGAATCCAAAGAAGACCACACCAAGACACATCATAATTAAAATTCCAAGAGCAAAAGACAAAGAGAGAATATTAAAAACAGCAAGAGAAAAGCAGGTAGTTACCTACAAAGGAGCACCCATACGACTGTCAGCTGATTTCTCAACAGAAACCATGCAGGCCAGACGGGAATGGCAAGAAATATTCAAGGTAATGAATAGCAAGAACCTACAGCCAAAAATAATCTACCCAGCAAAGCTATCACTCAGAATCGAAGGCCAGATAAAGAGCTTCACTAATAAAAAAAAAGCTAAAGGAGTTCATCACCGCCAAACCAGAATTATATGAATTGCTGAAGGGGGTTCTTTCAGAAGAGAAAGTAAATAAAGAAAAAAACTATGAACAACAAATACCTAACTATCAACAAGTGAATCTAAAAACCAAGGGAATTAAAAAAAAATCTGATGAACAATATTAACTGTTGAATATAATAGAATCAGAGGTATGGAAGGGGAATGGACTGACGATTCTCGGGGAAAAGGGCAGAGGGGGGTGTGGGAAGAGACTGAACATAAACTGTGCACCTATGGATGAGGACAATGGGGGTGGGGAAAGGGCAGAGGGTGGGGTGGAACCTGGTGGAGGGGGGGGGATGAGGAACATTTGTAATAATATGAACAATAAAGATTTATTAAAAAAATAAAAAATAAAAGTTAAAGTTCCTGGTAAGAAATATAACTTCTGTGCTAATTTAGTGGTTCTCAAGTTATTTCTATTGGTGAAACATTAGTTATGATGATAGTTACAGAACTATTGTTTTTTCCAAATTAAAGTAATTATATATTTGTGACAATATATACATATGTAATTAGTATTACTAATAATTGATGTAATTTACTCAACTTTTTTTGAATTTTGGTAGTTATAGTAGATATTTTTCATATAATTCTCAGTAAAATGTTGGAACATGGTTTACTGTGCCCTTTTTTATGGATGAGAGAAACTGAGGCTAAATGGATTAAATTGATTGCTTTGCATCACAGAGAATTAGTATGTAGTACAGATGAGATTTGAGCCTGTATCATTCTAGTTACAAAATGCATTCTCTTTGTACTCTGCAGTAGAGTTTTCTGCAGTAGTTAATTTCTTATTGCTGGGATTAAAACAAAAGGACAGGGGAGGGAGAAAATTAATGATAAAAATCTAATTAGACTTCTATTACTAAATGCATTTTTATGTCTATTTAACATGGGTCAATTTTTTGAAAAATAGGCAATGATTTTGGAAAGGATGATGCCATCGGAGGGAATGTGAACAAATTTATGGTGCTTCCAACTGGATACTGTGGACAGCCCAAGAAAGGACATCTTGTCTTTGATGCTTGCTTTGAGAGTGGTGAGTATATTAAAGGCCTTTGCTCGATCTTTTCTGATGAAGGTTTTTTTTTTTTTTTTTTTTTTTTTTTTTTTTTTTTTTTTTTTAGAATCTATTCCCACCTAAATGTGATTCAGTCCATTTAATGTTTCACCAGAATGAAACAAGCTGTCAGAGGAAAATCAGTTTTGATGAGATAAACTATATGGTAAATCAGCTATTGAATGTTTATTGTATATATGGTTTTGTATGACATTCTCACAGAACTTAATCATTGTGATTCAGGAGGCTTCCTATAAAGAAATGATGAGAGAACAGATTCCATTGAACACAAGCAAAACAGCAAAAGTAATAATGCATCATAATCAACAAATGCTTGTAGGTATTGTAAAAGGGGAGATCAGGACTTGATTGTGAATTCCCATCCAGTAGGTATTTGATCTTGTTAAAATCTTTATGCCCTGAACCTCATATTCTACTATGAATAGCAAATGTTATGTATTCAGAATATGTTGAAAATATTAGTGAGAAAAGTAACATAATTTTCTTTTAAAAATAATTAATTTTATTGATTTCAGGGAGGAAGGGAGAGGAAAGGGAGAAAGAGATAGAAACATCAATAATGTGAGAAGATTATTGATTGACTGCCTCCTGTCTGCCCCACACTGGGAAACAAGCCTGCAATCTAGGCATGTACTCTGGCCAGGAATCCAACTGTGACCTCCTGGTTCTTAGGTTGACATTCAACTGCTGAGCTGTGCTGGCCAGGCATTTTTGCTTTTGAATAGTGTGTGTGTGTGTGTGTGTGTGTGTGTGTGTTGTGTGTGAGTGGATATGCCAACTCTCTGAATCCTAAGAACATTGGTTATTTATACCAACTATTGAAAACTTGTTTATCCAGAGTTTTGCTCTTAGTTTATTCCATGTTGTCTTAGTTTGCTAGGACTACCTTACCAAAGAGCCACACATTGAATGGCTTAATCAATAGAAATTTATTGTCTCACAGTTCTGAGATCAAGGTGTTGTCAGGCTTGGTTCATTCTAGGGGTTTGGGGAAGAATCTGTTCTATGCCTCTTCTCTAGCTTCTGGTGGTTTGCTAGAAATTTTTGTTGTCATTTGGTTTGTAGAAGTATCACCTTAATTTATGTCTTCATTTTCACATGGTGTTTTCTCTGTGTGTATGTCTGTCTCTAATATCTACCCCGCCCCCCCCTTTTTTTTAAGGACACAGGTCATTGATTTAGGGCCCATAATAATGGCCCTATTTTAATTAGATTACTTCTGTAGAGGTCTTTTCTCATAGTAAAGTCTCATTATGAGGTTCTGGGGAGTTGGGACTGAAACATATGAAATTTTATGGGGACACAATTCAACTCATAACACAGAATTGTAGTGTTGTCCTTCCAGTCAGATATGAGCATTGTCCACACTGTTAGGATCAATGTTTCCTATTTTTTTTTTTTAATCTAGTATTGTTGTCTTGTCCAGGAATTCATTTGGTGCCTAGAAAATACCTTTTGAATTCTTTTTACTTTCTGTTTACTTTTATATTATACTTAAGGTATGATGGGTTTTTACAATAATTCTATGAGTAGGAATTATTTTATTCCTACAGTATGGAATAATTCAGATTCCTTTTCTAGAACACCTTTTCCTTAACTAGACTCATATTTTTCCATCTCTTTCCGAAAAGCTCAGTACAAGATATTGCCTATCAGACCACAAAGTAACTAACTGAATAATACATATTCTCCTCAAATGTATGAACAGTTGTTTATATCAACTGTATTTGTCCTTGCAGTATAGTAGAGTGACTAAGTGACATCGTTTGGAGTCAGGGTGTAGTTCAAATCCTTACTTGAATACTAGATCATGGTTTCCTCATTTGTTAATGGTGAATGATCCTATCTTATATCTTAATTGAAGAAAAAATATATTTCATTGTTTAAAAAATTAAGCTCATTTTACTAAAATATATACATACCAATAAAATATTTAAAAATAGATAAATGAGGAGATTACATAAAGGGAAAATAGCAAAAGAAAGTTCAGCTGTATGAGTACATAAAATGTATGCTATGAGACCCATAAATTTGCTATAGATAGATGACAAGTTTTACTGACTTTTCTGGCAGCCAGGTAATAAGATAAAAACAAATGAGGTACTGAAATCTGATAGGAACCCTTCCTAATGAGCTTCCCAAAGCATATACTGAAATATGAGAATAGCACCTTCAACAATATCCTTGTGTTCTTTACAATAGTATGTTTCATAGAGGTGTATTTTGTAACATCCTTCAATGTAGGATGAGGGCATAATGCTAAAGGGCATTTTAGTGAAAACAATTCAGTTCTATTTAAAACAATTTGTTTATTTTATATATAGCCTTCATTTTATCTATCTATTTTTCCTTTTTATTGAATTTATTAAGGTAAAACTGGTTAATTCAAGGATGTATTTGAGATTATTTAAAACAGGGACGTCAGAGGGGTTTTGTATTATGTGCTAACTCTGAGCTACTGGCTGTAGTTTTCTGGTATGCTGTGTTGAAAAGGATTCTGTAAGTGTATCTGGATTTACTGGGAAGGATTTAGGGGATTAATAGATTCAGCGAATGGAGAGTATTGACTCATATAGTTAAGTATATTCCCTTCAGACATAAGTTTTTTTTTTCTCCTTTCAGAGCTATTAGATTTGTAAAGGGCCCAATATATTTCCTGACCCTGAGTTAGTGGATAATTAATGTTTTTCTTATGAGAAATAAGGTCTTCGGGTCAAATATGAATTTCCTATGAATCCCTGATCTTTTTTTTTTCTTTTCATATATACCTTCCCTATAAGTATATTTCCCTTGAGAAAACAACCATACTACTCTAATTTTATTTCTCTAGAGATATTTGACACTTTTTATGATTTTTAAACACTTACTTGGTTCTCTTCTTAGTAATCAGCTTTAGGACAGAATATGAGTCCGATTAATCCCTGTTCTTCCACCAAACCAAGCAGAGTACTTACAAAATTAACCACTATGTTAATACTGTATTTATTTATTGAATGAAAGATGGGGAAAGATTAACTTTCCAATAGCTTTGATGAAAAAATCATATTTAATTGCTGCTTATTTCCTAGTCCACCAACTTTTCTGAAGTTTTAATACCTTTGCAGATGCTGTTTTCTCTACCGGTAAAATGTTAATTCAGATTCAGTCCAGCATTTCTTTTTGCGAGAAACAGTACATCTCAGGCAGGTTTGGCTGTCTGTATCCCTGTATTTACAACCATTTCATAAGTTATTCTATGATATGCCTTATTACATTGCAGTCATTTAATTGTTTTTTTTTTCCCCCTTATCAATAAAAGTGCCTTGAAGTCAGGAATGGTTTCTTATTAATTTTTTCTCCCAGCACCTAGTATACTATTAGTCATTTAATAAGGAACTCAATAAATATATGAATAAATGAGGGATGACAGATAATGAACAAAATAATTTTCATAAAGTGAAATTTTAAGATTGATAAAAAATATTTTACACTTATATAAAAAATAACATTAATAGTAAAAAAAATATTAAGGGAAAAAATAAAATGATCACTTATTTGTTGCTTACTAGATACTATCATAAATGACATATACATAGTTTATCTCATTTAATTCTCACAAAACCTTCTGAGGTGTTAAATCTCTATAAGTTTGGAAACTAATGCTCAGAAATGTAAATCTGTTTACCTTATCGTACCCGACTGACAAGTGGTGTAGCTGAATACGAAACTGAGAATTTTCTAGCTCCAAAGGCCATACTTTTAACCATTATCTCTTCCTATATATAAAAGCCTAAGCAACCCAATGACTGGTCAACTGGTTGCTATGATGTACAATGACTACCAGAGAGCAGACGCTCAATGCAGTCAGACATCCCTCTCACAGTCCAGGACTGCTGATTCACAACTGTTCGCCTACCTGCCTTCCTGATGGCCTCTAACTACTTCTGCCAGCCTGATCACCCCCTAACCACTCCTATGCCAGTCTGATTGATGTCTAACTGCTCCCCTGCCAGCCTGTTTGCTCCCAACTTCCCTCCTCTGCCAGCCTGGTTATTCCTAACTTCCCTCCCTTGCAGCATTGATCGCCTCCAGCTGCCCTCCCTTGCAGACCTGGTCTCTCTCAACTGCCCTCCCTTGCAGGCCTGGTGCTTCCCAACTGCCCTCCCCTGCTGGCCATCTTTTGGTGGCTATCTTGTGTCCATATAGGGGCAAGATCTTTGAACACATGGGGGAAGCCATCTTGTGTGTTGGAGTTATGGTCAATCTGTATATTACTCTTTTATTAGATAGGATAGAGGCCTGGTGCCTGGATAGGGGCCGGCAGGTTTGCCCTGAAGGGTGTCCTGGATCAGAGTGGGGGTTTCCTTGGGGTGTATGGTGGTCTGGGTGAGGGGCCTGTGGTTGTTTGCAGGCCAGCCATGCCCCTGGGTAGCCAAGCAGAAGCCCTAGTATCTGGAATTTATTTACCTTCTACAATTGAAACTTCGTAGCCTGGACTGGAGTCAAGTCTTCTGCTCACTCCCTGGCCAGCAGCCATTTCTGTTTGGATTTGTTTACCATCTATAATTGAAACTTTATATTCTTGAGTGGAGGCCTAGGCTGGCCAGGGCAGGTAGAAAGCTTGGCTTTCTCTATTGCTGGGGCAACCCTAGCCTTTTCTCTCTGGCTCAGTGGCTGCCACCATTTTTCTTGGGATTTGGGATTTATCTTATTCTTTTTTTTATATAATATATTTTATTGATTTTTTTTTACAGAGAGGAAGAGAGAGGGATAGAGAGTTAGAAACATCGATGTAAGAGAAACATCGATCAGCTGCCTCTTGCACACCTCCTACTGGGGATGTGCCTGCAAACAAGGTACATGCCCCTGACCAGAATCAAACTTTCAGTCTGCAGGCCGACCCTCTATCCACTGAGCCAAACCGGTTTCGGAGATTTATCTTCCATAATTGAAACTTTGTATCCTTGAGTGGAGGCCTA